GGGAGGGAAGGGGGGAAGAGAGAGAAGGAGGAAAGGCAGATTGATTGTGAATAAATGAGTGAGATAGGGTATAGAGGGAGGGGAAAGAGAAGCGAGAAGAGGAAGAGAGAAAGAGGGGGGAGGTGAGAAGAGAAGGAGAATGGTGATTATTTAACTTTTGAATATCTATAAGTGGATGGGTAGGATAGTGGATGTGTAGGATAGGGGAAGAGAGAAGGAAGGGAGAGAGGAAGAGAGGAAGAGAAAGAGAAGAGAGAAAGGGGAGAGAGAGGAGGAGAGAAATAAGGAGAGAGGAGGAGAGGGGAAGAAGGAAGAAGAAGAAAAGAAGAAAAGAAAAAGGAGTAAAGAGAAGTAAGGAAGGAAGGGGGAAGAGAAAAAGAGAAAAAAAGAGGAAAAAATAGAAAGAGGAGAGGAAAGCAAAGAGGAAAGAGGGATATAAAGTAAATGAGAAAGTAATTTGAATATAGATGAGTAGATAGGATAGTATATGAGGGAGATAGAAATAGAAGCAAAAAGCGAGGAGGAGAAGGGGGAATGGGAAAGGAAATGAATATATATATATCTTGTATTACAAATTGAATTATATGTTTCTTCTCTTTCTTATATGTTTTTCTCTATATCTCTATCTTTCTAGATATTTGAATCTTTATATATTACATTTATAAGTATTTAATGATTTACTTACTTACTTTCTTTCCTTTTTACTTACTCATTTATATACTTAAATATTTATCTTTCTAATCAAATAGATAACAAATAATAAATAGTAAATACTTATTTAGTATTGAAATCATATAATTAAGCTATAATGAATTGAATTGAATGAGATGAGATGGAATGGGTTTGGATTTGCTGAGAAATTAGATTAAAAGGAATTGAGTATGAGGAGATAAATATGAGGAGGTATATGTAAGGAGATGGGATGGGAGGAGATGGGATGGGATGGGATATCGATGGGATCCGGATGGGATGAGATGGAAAGGAGATGAGATAAAATAGATTAGTATTTTCAATTTATTTACCTACCTATCTGTCTATCTACTTATTACTCATAAACAGTTTTGAATTTACTTCTTATTAAATCAAATGTTTTACAACCTTGTTTGAAATATATAATAATCTATTAGAAACAAGAATCTAGATCACTTCTAAGTATAACTACCGATTCTGACAAAGATAGAAAGATAGAAAGATAGAAAGATTGAAATTCGAAAGAGTTGAAAGGATTTGTTGGTTTGTTCTGAGTATTAGTAACGCTAGTCTTTGTGTGGATGTTTATTCATGATATCATAAGGGATTGAGATTTAAGTTTAAGCTTGAGCTTTGGAAGAGATGAATGAGGAGACAAGTCTTTAGATAGATAAAGGGGGGGAGGAATTGGGTGTCAGACGGGACCTCGGGATGGAGAGATGAGATACAATTAATTAAAAAGACAAGAAAACACGTCAAAGTAAAAGCAAGCAAATCAATCAATCACTTATTCACCACCATCCATTCATTATTCATTATCCATTCGCTCATTCCCATGATATATCAATAACCTTCATCAAATATCGTCATTCATACATATATGTACTGTATACCTAAGTATCCCCATCCTATCCCATCCTGTCATATCCTATTCATCCCATCATTAATAGTTTCCTTCTTTCCTGCTTTCTTTCCTGTTTCTTGAGATTCCATCCTATTCTTTCATTTCATATCCCATCCCATCTCATTCAATCCAAGAACCAAATCAAAACCAAATCGTCATAATCATAATCATAAATCCTCCATGAAAAGAATATCAAAGAAATCAATACATCCACATCCAATCCCCATCCCAATTCCCAACCCCCCAAACCAAAGAAAACAAACCAAACCCAAACCAAATCCCAGAAACCCACCCCAGAAACCTAAACCCCCGGCCGGTACTGTGATTCCCAAATCTGTATTCGCATTCGCATTCGCATTCGTATTTGCATTGGCATTTGCATCTGTATTTCTTTAAAAACTGTCGATATCATATTTTCCTTCATCATACTCTTCCAAACCCTGCACCTTGTGCATATCTCAACGGCGAATGTTTTCTCTTCTCCTCGTGTTCTTTTGATTTACTTGATCCCCCCGAGTTGCGTCTTTTGAACATGTGTTCAACCATGGCGCGGGGACCGACGAATTCGAGATTCAAGTTTAGGGGAGGGATAGGGAGGGTGCGGGGTGATGAGCGGGAGGAGAGGGCTTGGGAATGGGGGTGAGGGGTGCAGGGTGTGGTTGTAGTTGTGTGTGGTGATGTAGATGGGGTGTAGGAGTGGGAGTGGGAGTGGGAGTGGGAGTGGGAATTGGAGTGAGAGGAAGTGGGTTTAGATTGGAAATGTCTTTTGATGCTATCGTCGACGAGGGCTATGAGGCCAGTTGAGATAATGACGCTAGGGTTAAGTGTTAGATTTATGAAAACACAATTTGATTTGATCAGGAAAATTAATACTTACTCAGCAACATCCGTAACCTTTTCCAAGACACTCTTCTCACTAATCCACATTTGACACGGTGGGACCCAACCCCCCACCAATTCCTCCTCTCGAATCTGATCTCTAGATCGCAATTCCGGTACGATATGTGCTACCGCATTGCCAGAATCTCCTTTGAACAAATGATACGAAATAGCTTTTCCCTCGCCATCTTTCTCCACTACTCGTTTCCATGAATATGAGTATCCCCAATACTCAAACTCGTATCTCTTTTGCGATTTTGCGCCTCGACGCTTAACTTCGATTTGCGCATAATTTGAGAATTCAAGTTTCGTCGTATTGGTAGGGATGGAAGGAGCGGCTGCTTTTTTCGAAGCCATAAATGCTTCGACATCGGAGTCAGATTCAGAATTCGATGCGTATCCGCTATCGTGTCTTTGAACTCCTCCCATAGGTTTGGTGGGTGAAGTTGTCGAGTTTTGTCGAGAAATGCTGGGCTTGCGTATACTTGCAAAGGCATTACTGACGGAACGGGTCAAGACGGAAGGTCTTCTCTCAGTGGGTTTCGCGTATTTGCGACTCGAGTGACATACTTCGCGACCACTTGAGCGTTCGTAGCGACGGAGACTGAATTCGCGATTCTTGAGATCGTGCATGCGTAGGTGAAAGATTTGGATAATTTCTTTATCTTGACCATGACCATCTTCGGTGTCGACGCGAAGATTCATATTTCCATCATATGAAGTATCATCATGACGGATATAAAGACGTTTTGTGGAAGGGAAATATCGGGCGAAATCTTGAGCAGTGGATGGTCTCAGATTACTTTCAACCACGGTTTTATATTCCGGGACGTCGTATTCTGGATCATAGCTTTCGGGTTCATCATAGAGATCTTCTTGGGATGCAGATGTTGATGCATATGTTTCTTGAGATGAGCGAGGATAATCTATAGGTGTCATATCGCTGGGAGATAAATCTATCGACTCCTTTTGGTAATAGATAGGTCTCTCGGGTTGATATTGATAAATTGATGGTCGAGGACTGTTGTATATGGAGGTTGGTGCTGTACTGTGAGATTCTCGAGAGGATTCATCACTCTGACGGGAACCTCTACTACTCGTACTGTGATCGGTAGTATATCTTCGCATGTAGTCTGGCATTTTGAAATTGGGTTGATTTACTTGCGAAAAGTAGGGTAGATTTGGTGTAGTGGGTATGTGAATAGTAGGGTTAGTATTTATTGATACCTAATGGAATGATCCAAGAGTAAAACGGTGGCAATGTAGATTCGATATAGTGAATTGGTACCAAGTATATTTGAATGAATATAGTATGTGAATGAGGTGTATTCAAAACCTGTTGAGGAGTATAGTATGCAAAAGAAATCTCTTGGAAAAAAGTAATAATAATCAAGTTATTAAAAACGGTCGATTCCGGTGGTAGATATTAACATAACATGACAGTAGTAGTGTATGTACACATTCGATAACGTGGAGCAGAACGGGGTATAGAACGTGGTGTTTCGAAATTGATGTATGAATTGGCATCCATATAATCCTTGACCAATTCCTGATATTTGTATTGGTAATGATGGGGTTTTCCAGAAGAATATGGAGAAGGATTGTTGTTGTTGTTGTTCCTAAGTGGGATTCTCTCTGGGTTTTGATGCTTCTAGACGTTTTTGATATTGATATTGATGATGTGATTTGACAGATAGAGGGGTAAAATCTTCCGAGACAGTTGCAGACAAATATCCTTGAATCCAAGTAATTCCAACGTGGATACTCTTTCTGTGCCTTTCGATAATTGATGATTATGGGATTTTCGAAAGTGTGGAGTGATGAGATGGATGAAGTCAAGAAAGTGGAACGGTGGAACGGTGGAACCAGCGGTGGAGATATTTTTTCTTCTTTTTGATGTTTAATCAAGTTTATGATTCATTATTTTGCTCCGTGCGGCAAGTATAGTCGTATGTACCTAGGAGCTAGGAGCTGGGAGCTAGAAGCTAGGAGTATGTATTATATGTACTTAGATATGTATGTATTGTGTATGGGGGCAGGAATTGGATCCTATTAAGGCGTGGGCTGGGCGGTTTGGAGCGGGAAAGCCTTTGATTTCTGGGGGTGGTTGGGTCGATATGACTGTGAGGCAGAGAGAGAGACAGAGGTAGTGAGTGAGGCGAGAGGCACAGGAAAGAAACAATGGAATATGGTAGAATTGGGCTGAAGGAATTAAGGAATGAATGGAGAGACTTGGGAGTTGAAGACAAGACTAGTAGAGAGAATTCGAGAGTTGAGAGTTGAGAGTTGATAGTCGAGACTAGCAAAATCCAAGAATTCCTTTCATTATTTACCATTTTACCCCTGTGGAGAAAATCTTATATGGAAGTTTCAATTCTTACTCATCCTTCTTCTATATTCTACGAGTAGATTGTTATATTTCCTTTCCAATAATCCCCCCTCGCCCCTTTCCCAATTGTCTAGATCAAGCCACCAGACTAAAGGTTGCATCCATGAGCAAATAACCCATAGCTAATTAATCATTCTCTCAATTTCTCAAAGGACTACCGGGGCATTGTTGGGGCATTAAGAACAACTTACTCCTTCGTCCTCCTTCGTCTCTTTCAGTCTCTCCGTCTTTCCCATGTTTCCCATCTTTCTCATCCATCCATCCATCCACCCTTGATAAGGTTATGTTGTGTTGAAGAGTAGCGCGATGGTTTCCGATAGGATAACAGTATCGGAATATCATCTGGGCACTTCCACCGTCAACCAATGAATCAACATCAATCAAAGCATAAACTAACATTATCCACGCACTCATCACATTGTGGATTGACATCTAGGCACATGGCTAGGTAAGATTCCTGGGTATGTCACACCTAGGTACCTAGGGAGGCATATGTTTTTATATTGATCCAACGCGACTATCGTCTCTGGGTATATTTTTTATATTGATCTAAAACTACTATAAGGTACATCTAGATATATCTTTTTATATTGATCCAACGCACTCGGTCATATACATTTCTAGGTAGTTGGTATATCTTTCCCATATCCTCGAGTAAATCAAGGTTAATCATTACCAAAGGAATTTATCCCAGTTGAACCAGAGTACAGTAGCACAATCCGGAGTTCCCTTTTGAGCCACCTCGACCACTCATAATGATTGCCAATCCAACTTCTTACCGATTCTTTTTCGAACATTCCCATCTAATTCTCTCCACCATCCACCACCATCCACCACCATCCACCGACAATTCCTTCGTGGCAGTTTTGACGTGCACGATGACATATACAAATCAATCGCTTACCCAGGTAACGAGCTAGCTGTACGATTACTACGATCCGATGTACAACTCAAAATTGGTAGCTGATTGTTACTCATCTGTTTTTACAAGATGGATCCATATTGAATCCATATTGAATCCACATGAACCCTTCGAACAGCTCGGAACAGGTTACATGAGACTCGGATTAAGGACTACACCTCCACCTACACCTCCACCTCCATCTACTGTCGTACATCGCGCACAGCTCGCACAGCTCGATTAAATAAATTCCTTTGGCGGTGGACATGGACCTAGGTAGGACTAGGCCTAGTGGACCGATAATTCAACCTGTCGCCATCAACCTGCAACCATCAACCATCAAATATCAACCATTAAAATTCTATCTGGATGAATTTTGCTATTCCTCTTTCCTTCAATCCGCCCTCGATGATGTTACACAGCCTCAATTGCAACCTAGAAACCTTAGTCACCACTTTCAATTGAATGGATTGACTGGATGCCCAAATTTCTACATGTATACTACTAAACTGTAAATGATTCTATCAAATCTTTATCATGAACGACCCAAGCGACCGGCCAGTTTCTTTCCAATTTTGCCCTGCAAAAGTCTCCAAGAGAATATTCGATGCCCGATGGAATATTTATCAATCCATCTTACTATTCTATCCTACAAGTCATGTTGGACATTAAGGCGGACCATCTGAAAATATTAGGTTACTCCAACCAATGACTATTTCTACCTACGTACAGAAGAGTACCAAGATAATCAGCCTCAATACGAATAGCAACATCCATTATAAGCTGAGTTGATTAGTATCCCCAAGGAAGGCTTGCTTCAAGGTTGTGCTGACCCAAAGTATGATTCAGTTACCCTAAACAATGGTCATTGGTTGGATTTCTTTCCAAAGCCTTTCACGCGCCTATTTATGCAAGACCAGTCACTCCACTCAATCTACTCCATTTTTCTGCCCTACAGCTTTTTCTATATTTCGTACAAGTTTTCCTCCAATGATTTCCTATCAGCAATTGATATGCCTATCTCTCACTCCATCAAACTTTCATATGGCCCATCTTCCATGGAAATGTATACGTTTTACGTTTCATCTGAGCCATGATTGTTTCGTATACTCTGTATGTCTAAGAAAGACACGAGGCCGATAGAGTTATGGGGCAAACAAAAACAATGTTCGAGACTTATCATCTATTTTCATTCTTTGTGACATATGGCGGAAATCAGGGCAAATTGATATCTCTCCACCTATCTTCGCTTCCGCTGTACATACGTATGACAACGGTCATGCAAGGCTTGCAAGTGTGGCAGTTTACCATTTGTGTTTTTACTTGAATTGTTGCTATATTTATTACTTTCATGTGACTCGTTATCAAGTGTACGATTTACGAAGTGAAGGAGATCAATCAAATTTGTCTTGGTTTGCCCAATTTCTTGGGCTGTGTCGCTTTTGATCGGAGAGCTAGTATCTGAGAGAGTTGAAAACAGGTGTAATCTTCACACATCGATGATCGAAAAGTTTTGATGAAAAGCGGATGATTTTTCAGAGAGCAGGTTTTGTGCTTCACGACCACTCCAATCAGTGCCACGTTCTCGGTCTCCCACATGTCTCACCGAAGGAAAAAGGCGACCAGATCTTATGCATCCTATGCAGCTGCCCTTTTCTTTTGTGCCACACCTATAAGGAATCACCGAAACTGGCCCATTCAATGGCCTCAAACTGTCCATCATGATGGTATTTGCCATGGTTCGCCCAAAGAAAAAAAATCCGACTAGTCATGCGAGAGTGATCAGTTTAGGTTTTGGATGCGGGGTATTTCGTACAGCGAACCACAATTTTGGAGGAATAGGAGAAAATTGGTTTTGCTTTTGCTTATGATATTGAGAAGGATTGTCGATCGATGTTCTTCTCTCGTGGGTAATGTCATGTCATCTCATGGATTATATCATATATTGTGATCATGATCACTGACAACTAAATCGTTATCAATAATGTAAGTAAGTGGCACAGTTCTTCCGGAACCTCATCCCACATACCCCCATGAGGAAGGAATTCATCCTTCCTTCCGAGGGCGGGTAAGATTTTTTATTAGGATCGGTAACCCAACATATAAATATCGGAAAGAGGCTCTTTATCCGACATGTTAGCAAAGTTATTGTGCAATTATATCATATCATATCATCTCTACCCATCTCTCTTCTTTGCGCCACTACCTTTAAGCATGAAAGAAATAGACACCCCCACATATAAATGTAGAAAAGATGCTACATTGCCCTATATAAAATCATCATAGAAACCTCACAATTTTCTTTCTTTCATTCATCTGAAACACGCTGAACCTATCTACTGTCTACAGTGTCCATAAATTTCTAGTAGAATGCTACGTACACTGGTAGCTACAGGAGTAGATCGAAGATCGAGTGAACATGTGATTTTTGAGGGAAGCGGTTATTGTTAGTTGATTAGTGACGAGTAATAAGTTGGTGACGGGTTGCGAGTTATGGTATGAGATCTACATACATACATACATATAAGCATATGTGCATATGTGCATACATGACCATCTACAAAGCTTGCTGTATATATCCATACAAATTACATATTGCACATGTAGATACATATCCTACTCGGGGACTTGTGGATGTGGATGTGATGTGATGTGAATGTGATGTTGTGTGAAGTACGTGTGAAAAATTATTCCTGAGGGAGGGGAGGTGGATAAATTGGAATGGGGATGGAGGAGGATGTGTTGGAGGTTTGATGTGTGTGTATGTATGTTCGACGTTCGATTATGCGTTGTGATGAATCACAATAATGCGAATTCAATTCGCTTTAGAGGGTTGAGTTTGAGTATCTGGCTTTGAGTATGGAGTATCGAATATCGAGGATTGATGATTGATAATCGGGGATTTGAGGTATGGGTTGGTAAGTTAGTAAGTTGATGGGTGGGTAAGTTAGCTAGCGGGTGAGTTACTTACTTATCTACTTACTCACTGGTAGATCAATCACCATCATCATGTTGTGGAGTGGAGTGGAGTTTGGGGAATGTGGGTGGATGGAGATGGAGGTGAAGATGTGGATTTCAGGGGAGCTTTCAGTTTAGTATGAAGTTATTTTTTACTTGATGTGTGTTTGTTCTCGTAATACTAATTTTTCTTTTCTCTTCTCTTCTCTCCTCTTCTCTCCTCTTCTCTCCTCTTCTCTTCTCTCCTTGCTTGACACGATAAGATATCATGAAATGAAATGAGATAAGATACGATACGATGCGGTTTGTATAATTTCTGGAGATTCTGAAGATTCTGAAAATTACTTATTTCTAGTGAGATTCCTGATATGCATAGGGAGGAGAGAATGGAAAAGAGAAGGGAAAGAGAAAGGAGAAGGAAAGGAAAGGAGAGCTAATTTGAAACTTGAGATTTTGAGATTGTGAAACTTGACTACAGTACAGTAAGTGTAGTGCAGTGCAGTGCGGATCAGGTCAGATCAGGTCAGGTCAGATTAGGTAAGGTGAGGTGAGGTGAGAGAGAAATCGCTGTGTGTAGGCAAGCGCTAGAAGTAGGTAAGCGCTGAGAGCAGGTAAGCACTACTCAACTTAACTTAGCGTGCTTAACGTGTGTAACTAAACTTAGCTCAACTCAACTCAACTTATCTTAGCTCAACTTGATGTACTTGACTTACAGAATCATCGATGATCTCTTCTTCATGGACCTGTGTGCATGTGTGTGTGTTTATGCGCTTACCTGGGTATGTATGCGTTTATATCATATGTGTGTGTGTTTGATGATCTCGATGGAATCATAGGTAATCTGGAGACGTCATTGTTTTTGATGGTTATTGTGATTGTTGTGTCAGACTATCAGACTATGAGATTATCAGATTGTCAGATTGACATATGTCGTTCGTTATTTGGCATCCGCCATCCGGCATTTGTTATCTGTCAGACTATCATCTATCAGACTTTCGTCTATCATATGTCAGAATATTCCATAGCCTGTAGTTTGATATGCTATACTATCCTGGACATCTAAATAAATTAGGGGGGAAGGAGAAAAGGGGGAAACAGAGTGCGGAATAGAGAATTGGGAAAGGGGAAAAGAGGAAAAGAGGCGAGGAGACTCAGGGAGAAGATAAGTTTCTTCTTGTTGTTGTGTTCACTAAGTACTTCATGGTCATTCATCTTTCTCAGATTAATGAGTTATGTTATAGCTTTCTTTTTTGCTTTCTTTTCTGCGGTTTTGGAAGTTTTGAAATGCTTGATGTTTGAGATTGAATTGAGACTGAATTGAGACTGAATTGAAATTGGAATTGGATCTGGGTTTGGAGGTTTGAATGTAGATTTCATTTGTTTGATTTCATTTATTTGAGATGAGATGACATGGCATTTCATCACTCAGTGCGGGTATTCGGTGATTATTACTGCTCGTTTTCTCCTTTCTTCTTCGGATTCCTTTTCGGGTTTCTCTTCATTTCATTTCGTTTCAATTTGCTTCGTTGTGTTTTGTGGATTAGATTAGGGGGTTTGAGGAATGAGATGAGATGAGAGTTTTGTGAATTGGTGTGATGTTTGGATAATGATGATTGTAGTTCTTGGGATGAGATGGGGAAAATGGCATATGGATTTTCTTTCTTACAGGTGAGAAGTGGGTGTTTGATGGGAAGGACAGGAAGGGGAGGAAAAAAGAAGGGCTTTATTCATATGAATGGGGAATTTCATTCTTAATTACTTGCTCAATTTTGGGGACTCGATGGTGATGTTGGGAGGGGTTTGATGAAGGGGATCATTGAGGGATTGTGATTGAGGAGTTTGTGGGGGGGAGCTTGTTACTTTGTTATGTTCTTGGGGTGAGTGAGGTGAAATGATTTGGGTTGGAGTAAAGGGAGAATAATGATAGGGAGAAGGATATCAAGGTATGCGCACTGTGCGGTCGACTACGGTCAAATGATACGAAACAAGGAGCGAGGAGACCGTTTGATGGATGGTTAATGAATATCAGATTGAAAGACGGGAAACAGCTATCTCGATTCGCGTTTGGGAGATAGAAATATGGGAGATAAGAAGCGAGAGAGACGTAGAGTAAGTGGGATTTGCGGTATCTTCTGGAGGAGGATATCTGATTCTTCATCTCATGGTTGAGTAGGGAATTAAGGGGCGATAGAAATCACAGAATGACGTGGAACAGAATGGCTGGAGAAGTCTTCCAGTTTATACTTGTGAGAGAATTGAATTTATCTGTTGAATTAAGTTACTGATATGAGAAAAGCAGCTCGCTAAACTCAGGAATATCTTTTCAGGAATCCGTCTCGGGGCGCTTAATAAACTTTGGGGGTTGGGGGGGGGAGCTTGAAAGGAGGTGAGTGACTAGACTGGATATCTATTGTGAGCTAGAGGTATGTAGGGTCTCCATGACTTGTACACTATGATGTATCAGAACTAAGGTTATGATTCGATGTGAAATTTATCTGATGTTGTGTTATTTTGGTGACTGTAGGTAATATGTTGCTAAGGGGAGGAAATGAATGAATAAATTTCGTGGGTGAGCGAGTTCATTTCTTGATACTGAATTATGCTGGTGTTCTGATGATTGTTGAGATAGAAAGTGACGCAAACCCGGAATGATGGTCAGGGTTCGAGTTGAATGGGATTGTGTGGATATTCAGAGTATCGAGAAGAAGAAAGGGATTAATATTGACCAGCGGTGAGATATAATCTTCAGTATGGTTCGCTTTCTCTTCGATATTCTCAATAAGAATAGAAAATAATAGTTTGCGAGATGGATCGCTTATTTTGAGTGGAGGAAGAAGGGGAGGGGGAAGATATCATACATGACATCCTCGAGCGCAGCGAGCTATGGGGGCTTGGGGGCTTGCCCCCATAAAGAAGAAGATTGAACTGGTGGTTTTTGAAGATGATGAGGTTAGGACTAGGTTGAATGATATGGCATGAGGAGTTTTGTTGTTGATTCTGAGTTGGTCTAATCTAGTTTGAGAGGGAGGGAGATGATGAGTTAGTTTTGAATGATTGATGTTGTTTTGGTCTATGTGAACGAGATATGGACTGATTTACTATGTGGTATAAAATTTCAGAAGTTTATAAGCTAAGAAATGCTACTTTTCAAAATCAAACCTTGCATGTTGCAGTGATGTTGAGTTGTATGTGAATGCGCGTGTTCAAGATTCAACCCTCTAGTTTATATCGACATACCATCGTCTTTCATGTATCTATCGAAGGCTTCAAAACTCGAAAAATGGTAATCGTTAAAGTCAGGTTGATATTAATTCGAGAAATCGAAAGAAATATAATTTCATTGATTTAATAATAAATTTAATTCAAATCTTCATTCATGGTTTTAGAAATCATCAAAGTCTCAAAACAGACTAGCGCCATCCCAAAAATTATCTCGAACCTCAATTATTTTGTCCCGCCAGAATTATAACTTTTGAATGCCATTGCTTCCCACGCACAACATCTACGATATTTAAGGGGTGCAGGCCCAGATATAGGAGAAGATCTGTTTACAAAGAGCGATAAATCGAATATTGCAAGAACCCGTTTCAGGGCTCAAAAGAGCTCGAATTTTCACTCATGGCATCAACTCGAATGTCGCCCGGCGGGGCACTCCTACGAGCCTCCCGAGTCTTCGCAATTCCCAATCCTCTTCCCCGACCAACCGGGACCCTCTCTTCCCAAGCAACCTTCGATTCCGATACCGCGACGCTCCCCCATCCAATCCATCAATCTATTAGCACCCCGCCATCCTCCCTCGCAAAAGGTGATTGGGGATTCAAACGACCCCTCCCTCTACGAGCCACCACGCGCACCTCCACCCCCATCATCCGCGTCAAAGCTATCGATACCTTTGAGCACGTCACCGAGTTTGGTTCCGCGGCAGACCACAGTCTCACTCTACAAAAATGGCAGGAAATGAATATTCCCATTTCGACACCCCGACTTAGTAAATCCGCCTCTGTGAACCGCGATCAGAATATTCCTAAACATAGAAGTGTTTTTGATGATAGCATTGATACGACGGTTCGAAATTCAAGTATCCGGGCGGGAATTACAGGGCAGGGAAAAGACGATACGCGCTGGAAGTTTTCAGGTCCATGGTTAGCGGGTTTGACCGAGGGCGAATTTCAAGAATATGTAGCAAAGGAGGTGGGAAGGAGAAAATCCGAATTCAGACAATTTTTAAAGGAATCCTGTGCTGCATCTCTGACGAACGAAGCGAGAAAGAAAGCAGTTCAAAATGATGAAGGATTGGGAGATTTCAAAACCACTTCTGTAGAGGAAGTTACGGAAGAACAATTGTCAACTTATATCCGTCATCTACGATACGATATCTCCACACTAAATCTCCAAATCCGCGCCTTTCTCGATCTTGCTCCTTCTCCTGCTCCCCGAGCCCAAGACGAAACAGAGATTTACGATGAATTAATTTCTTTCCGTCGCCTCAAACCCGTCGAGGTCGTATCCAGTTCTCCGTATGCCGAATCCGGACCTCCTAAAACCCATCCGAGTGCCGGATTATCCTATTCGCGCAATAACAGCTGGACATACAACCATGCGCTCTATGGACCACAAGCCCATGCTCCTCCCGTCGAAGCCCGTATCGTCATGCCCAAGAACGCATCGGGTGCTCCTCCAGTACTCGGTGTAGGAGGTGTGGTTGCGGATATCCCATCTGGATTCATTCAATTCGATGTTAAACCTCTTGGAAGTAGTAATCCCAGATCTCACGATCAAGTTGCCGGATTATTATTTGTCGAGCCGCAGAAATATGGAGGTAGTAAAACGTGGGTCGAACCTAAACATGCATATATTGATGCAAAGGGAAAGATTGTACTTTCAGTAATTCCAGCGGATAAAGATGCCGTGGCAGTGAAAGAGGGAAAAGTAGATGAGATTCCAGAACCACTGCAGAGAAATTATTTACCAGCGGGAAAGACGTTTACAAGACAGAATGGTAGTGGTGAAGGATACGGATTGAGTGGATTTTAGAAATCGCAAATCGCAATCGATTGAGTAAATGAATTGTGTATATTATGTTGCAAATGTACATTTTAGAAAGAATTCAAATGAATCTTAGATATCATTACAAGCATCCTCTACAAATGTATTGTTAAATTCATAGATATTCACAGTGAGATTTCATCTGGATGGAGATTATGGGGGCAAGCCCCCAAACCCTCTTTAGCTCGCTACGCTTGAGATATGGTCGTGTAAAGAATATGAGAAGTATTTTATTCTTTTTCCGGATAATCTACCTAAACCTCTCCAATATCCATCTTAACAGTAGACCAAGAAGGATTATATACATGCAATCTTACACACAGGTGAAGACTTCACCACCCATTAACTGAAATTCCGTCCCCGAATAAAGAGTACCTGGCAATATCTATTAGATTTAAATTAAACTCTTGCATCCGTATCAAGAGACATCTTTCCATTCAATCTACTCCTCTGATCTTCTTCCGTGTTCACTTCTCTCTATCACATCCTCACCTCTCATCCCCTCCTCATCTTTTCCACCCCTCATCCATCCAACCCCCTACAAAACCCCCTGCGCAATCCACACCACCCCCTCCCCATCATCCGCCGCGACACTCGCGCCCAAAAACCACGGCGCCCCAAACGTGCACCCACTCCCCATCGCCACACTCAACACACACATACCCTCTGGCGTGACGCCCCCGGGACCTGATGATCCTCGAGCCAAATACCTATACGGCACTCTCACACTCACCGCTGCATTTCCCTTACCGGTAAACTCAAAATCGAGCGTCAGATCGCGGGGGATCTCTTCGCAGTTGGATGGGTACACGATAGCGTTTTCGTAGTTTTGGAAGCCGGCACGTTCGAGGAACGCGGTGTTGTCGTATGCGTAGGGGAGGGTGAGAGCGATGGAGCCGGAATCCACGAGACAGGTTTCGGTGGGGTAGTCGGTGGGGATGGATGTATTGGCGTGCGAGATGATGGGCTGGGAAATGTAATATCCGCTTCCGTCCTCCGGTGTGACGATAGGTACGGGGGTGAGTTCCCCGGTATAGGAATCCGCGGGGGGGAGCGCACCCAGGAGGAGGGTTCCGGTGAAATTATGCGTGATCGATGCGTCGGCTGGCGGAGGCGCGAAATACATCGAAGCGATGGGTGCGGAAATGCGTCCTTGGTTTAGGAGATTAGTTTTGAGATTCGGACCGCTGTTACTGGAGGTTGAGGAACATAGACCCATGATCCCGTAGTCGTAGGAGAGTTCTGGACAGGGCTCCCCGTCGGCAACATACTGACGTACGACGCCGGAAGAGACGAGCGCGATTTCGATATTAGGGATGGAGGGGCTGGAAGGGAAATACAGGGTATCGTTTACGGAATGGTTGGCCTCGAGGATTTTGGAATTCCCGCCGTAGGCGTAGGATCCGGTGAAGTTGGAGAGGGTGGCGTTGTCGGGGTGGTAGTAGTAGGAAGGACTGGTGTTGCATGGACCGGTGAACCCGAGGTATTGGGATCCGTAGTTTATGGTTGCGTTTGGTGCGAAGACCTTGAGTTTTGTTAGTTTTTGTTTTTCCCTACCTCTCTCTCTGTCTCTCTCTCTGTCTCTCTCTCTGTCTCTCTCTCTGTCTCTCTCTCCATCTTAAAAAATTCCGATATTTCCACCTTCTTCCCCCCCTCAAACCCCATCCCTCAAACCCCAAACCCAATCTCACCTCCTCCAAAAATCCCCACACCCAAAACCAAAACCAAAAACCAAAAAAAAACAGAACATACCCAAAAATCCGCACTCCCATAATCCACCACGACCTCAATACTCTGCCCAATCTCTTCATTCCCACTGCCCACCGTCACCGGTGTAGTCACCTTACTCAACGATCCATACAGGTGACGAATGGGCATTGAAATTGCATCTGTCTGTGCATGCGTGATGGTATTTAAAGCCATCAGGCTTGTTAATGATGAGGTTTTCATTGTATGTGATGTGATTAAATTCAAAGGAGAGAAGATCGAGGAGGAAGAGGGAATTGGAGATCGAAAGCCAAAAATTATGTCAAGAGAAAAAGATAAATCATCAATTGATACATATATACAAAATCCTCTCTACCAGTAACTTAGTATACCTACCTAGATATCCATATATCTCCGGTACTTAATATACTTAATATAGAAACCCGTGCATATGATATGCACTTGCTGTAGTCTATACCACTTTATTCCACTTTATTCTACCTACTCTAGGATATGCTACTCGTACTTATGATATGTAAAGAAATAACACAATTTCCCTCCCCTTCCCCCAAGATCAAGCGGGGACAATACGAGATTTTAAACAAAGCCAGGGAAATATACGAACGGAATACATCTATTCATTGCCTTAGTTCACCCATTGTTTGATAGGATATGTATGGATGGATGGAGTGTTCATATCGGTATTTGATGTAACTTTATTTAACTTTACTTATCGACACTCATATACGAAGACATAGATGTACATGTGAAGTGCATGTGAAGTAGATACGAAGTTCATATATATATATACATACATCGGTGCCGGATACGATGTAACTATTAGAACATATCGCCATTCCATTTCAGATCATTTATACTCACCGTCTATTGTATATCTATTTATTTATCTCCATACCTACCTACCTATCTACCTTCCTATACCGATACTAACATCGACACCGACAACCGATACAATCCCCAATCCCTAGTACATATTAGATACACCCATCTATCCATCCATCCAAACTCATACCTCAAACCTTCCCTCTTCCCAATTTCCCTCCCCCAATTTCCTCCCTTAAATCCCCATCCCCATCCCCATCCTTTCCTTTCCTTTCCTTTCCACAATAAAAAATCTACACCTCCTCCCAAACCCTTTTAAAAACCCCCCTCCCAAACTCCCTCACAATCCCCCCCAAAATTAAGATCAACGCAAAAGCCTCCATGAACCCAACTACCCAACCAAGCACCACTATAACCACTATAACTATTGTTTCAAACCCCTCTTAGAGTCTTAGTCCCGATCGGGTGGCGCGATAATACTCCGTAGATTGATTGGCATGCTTGTTTATAGTCAGGGGTAAAAAATAAAATAAAATAAAATAAAAGACAGTGTTCTTGTGGATTTAATCTGTAATAAAGCTTGTCTTTGTGTATCTACTGGTAGGTAAAGAATATATGTTAAGAGAATTACTGGCCTGAGGAAGGGATGAATTTCAGAAATTACAAAAAAAGAAAAATGTAGATTTTTAATGAATCAATCAATCATGTTATGCCTGCCCAATAAACTAACTGTATACACATATACACACACAAACCCCACTGTAATTGACTATCTTTACAACATACCATCTCAATCCCCGCTGGCATATCACAATGCTCAGTGTCAAAAAATTTCATCAATTCACCCCGTCCTAAGATCGCTTCATACCCACTCCTCCCTTACTCCCACAATCTAACCACCCACATCTACCCCCAAACCCCTCACAACTTAATTCCCCTCTCCCCAACCCACCCAACTCCTCGGCATTACCCTCCAAATCTTAACCTCACCACTTCTCAAATCATCCAACTTAAAGCTCTCCAACTTAATCTTCTTACTCTCTCTTCCTTGTTCCCATGCCCTTAACTTTTTCTTCGTACCATCCCATTCAGCGACTACACCCATATGATCGGGTTTACCAACTTCTGCTGTATATTTCGTATGCATTGATCCATGTTTACCTTGGAATCTGGTATTTCTCAGTGTAACAATATCACCCGCTCGGATCTCATCGAACTGTTGAGTCGATGCATTGGCCATGTTACTATAGACAAGAGCACCATATGCTCGAGTACCTACTGGCATAAGTACACCAGCTAATGGTTTTAGTAATTCAAGAATTAATCCTTGAGGTGTACCATCACCAACAATAGTATTTTGTCTAACAGTTACTGCTTCAATGAGACGCTTACCAAAACGTTCATGAGCTTCTTCCAATTGATCTTGGCGTAAACGAGCAGGTGGTCCTTCATGTTTTTGTTCAAGTTGACAATCAGAAGGATCCTTTGGATTGTATTGAGCTGCGATGATTGTTTGAGAGTAATCATGAAATAAGACAAAAAGTTCTCTCGTGACAACAGGTTGATTCGTACCAGAAATTGATGATGTATCTTCCGATTCGGTCAAAATGTCTTTTCGAGCCTGGAAAACAGGAGGAAGACTTTTCTTAATAGTCCACCATTGACTACCAATTCCCAAATCAATATCATTAGCCATAAAACCTGAATCCATAGCCATTCTGTTTAAATCCATAGATCTTCTTACACCACCAGTGACAGCCGCTCGATTAAGATCCAAAGATTGTTTTATTGAAGGCTTATTTGGAGGTGGAGCTGGAGCTCGACCTTGTTTAGGCGAAGCAAATGATCTTGGTGGAGAAGCTGAATATAAATCATCCTCAACAGGTTCCATCTTTGGTGTACCTGGAGCAATATGCACTGGAGCACTTGTTGTCGTTGGTGCATAATTGTAAGGATCATATTCATTCTGTTCAGGTTCCCATGGAGCTGGAGCTCTTCCAGGTGGTGGCGGTGGTGGAGCTGGTGGAGCAACGCTAGGAACCTCTGCTGATGAACGAGGTGGTGGTTGTGATGGCAATGGTGGAGGAACAGCTTTTGGAGCTGGAGCTGTAGGTGGAGGAAGTGGAGGAGCAAAAGTTGGAGAAGCAATTGGAGATCGAAGAGCCGTATCGTCAACACTTGCTTCTTTGGTGTGCTTCAAAGCATCTTTATGTGGTACCGCAGAAGCGATATCGGTATCATAATCACCTTCATAATCATCCTCTTTTTCATCATCCACAGGTGGAGGAGGGGGATTCAAGTGGGGAATAACATTTTGATCGCCTGTTGAAGATCTACTCAATGGAGCCCCGGGTGGAGGCGGTGGAGGGGCTCGAGTTTGAGCTGGAGTAGGAATACCAAGCGGGATAGGCGGCACTCTACTGGCACGTCTACCAGGCGTGTTTGGAGATTGCGGTGATTGTTCAGAACTAAAGTATGAAGCTCTCTTGCTAGCTGGTGATCTTGGGGAACCTGGTGCCTCGGAAGGTCGAGGAGGAGCTTGAGGAGGTTCAGCCAATGGCATATTTCGTGTTTGCTCAGCCATTTCATCATCAGACTCATAACCAGCGCCTGGTGACAGAATCTCTGCAGGAGGAGCTGGAACTGGTCGAGCTAATATTGTAAGTATATCAAAGTAATTGGATTTCACTGATAGATGACTTACAATCAATTGGAATAGGAGGAGGAGCTGGTCGTCCGCTCGGAAGCGGGGGTGGTGCGCCACTACCATGAGTTGGAACTACAAAAACAGTTAGTCTTTGAATAATCACGCTATGAGATCGAAATATTCACCCGGTGGAGGTGCCGATTCTTCTTCCTTCTCAGGTACTAAATCCTCAACATCCGGTACTACATCAGCAGGACGCGCAGATGAGACTGGTCGCTTCTCTTCCTCAGTCTCTTCCTGTTTCTCGACTTCATCCGGACTTCGAACTCGAGACATAGCAGGAAGAGGAATCATCGGTACAGGTGGCGCACTAGCAATTGGAGAAACTATTGCGTCTGATCCAGCAGTGCTTCCGCGTTTTGGAAGTGGCAATGATGGTTTCTTCTTCTTTGGCGGAAGAGGAGCTGCCATTGGCATTCCACCACCAAACATTCCATGCATACCCATCCCACCACTCATTTTTGCCATTCGAGCACGCAATTCTTCTTTGCGTCTTACTTCGGGGTCAATATCGTCTCCCTCTTCTTCTTCTTCCTCTTCCTCTTCTGCTTCAACAGGCGAAGGTTCTTCAACGGCGCCTTCTTCCTCGCCAACATCTGGTTCCACGGCTGGCGCTACTGGCGCACGACCAGGAGGTTGAGATGGTTTGACTTTAGGTTTGTCGTCGCTATCATCCTTTCCGGTATCTTCCAATTCTTCCGCAGTTTCAGCTGCTCCTGACATATCCGCTTCATTTCCATCCTCAATCGATGGAATAGGTACCCGAGCAGACTTCGTTCTTCGTAGCACACCTTCTTCTTCCCTAACAGAATCCATTGACATCTTTCCAGGCCTATCCCCAGTATCCGGTCGTTCTAAGCTAGCAGTCTCGCCGCCCTCTTCTGCGACTTCGTGAGACTCTGTTCTCTTCTTGGGTGGGCGCTTAGGTTTCTCTTTCTTCTGCGCGGCATCCGCATGTCTAGAAGCTTGTTCCATTTGTTGTTTTTGCAAAAGAGCGATACGTTCCTTGAGACTCGTTGGCTTAGGTTGTTCCTCTTCATCATTATTATTTGGAGATGTGGGCGCCAATCCTGCTCGTTCAGCTTGCTCTTGATTCTCATTCTCCTTTGCTGCAATCTCGGGATCTTCCTCACGTCTGTATATCTTTTGTGGCGGGGGTTCGCGCGGTGTAGGAATATAAGCATCCTTTCTTGGAGGTGGGGCAACAAATGGCTTTTTGATGAAATTATTCGAGCCTCCAGAACTGAAACCTGCGGGCTTGAATGGCGCTGGCGGAGGTGCAGCCTTGTTGAATGCTGCAATACGATCTCTAAATGACCCACCGCTTGGTTTTTCACTAACAGGAGAAGTTGGCTTTTGACTTGGAGGCGGTTTTGTAGCTGCTGGTGCTGGAGGTGGAGATGCAGGTTTTGGTGCTTTAGCCTGTGGAGCTGGTTGAGGAGGAGGAGGAGGTTGTCTTTCTTGTACCACAGGAGCTTCAGGAGCCTCTTCAGGCTGTGTTTCGATTTCCGGCTGAGGTTCTGGTTCTCTTACTGGCTCGGAAGCGACCACAGGAGAAGCTGGTTCGGGTTCCTTCTTTGGTCGATTGACACGCATAGGTCTTGGAGGTGCGGTAGGCTCATACTTTTCCACAAAATTGCGTGGAAAAATACCTTCTTGTTTGACTCCTGAAGCATCAACATATTCTCCCGCA